CTTGCAATCCGTCCGTTGCTTCTCATTTGTTGTCCAAGTTGTGGGCATCCTCTTAAATCCCAACAAAGTATCATCCAAATTCATCTGCGCCGATACAACTCTCATCTTCACTTGCCACAACAAAAAATCTTGTACTGTGATCCAACAGTGGAATATCATGCTTCATGGTAGCCATCGAAACAAAAAAACCTCAAATAATCAAATCCTTGCTCTGAGAAATTGCTGAACCTTGGCTCTGATACCACTAGGTAGGAATTTGAGGAGGTAATATGGTGCAATATGAAGTATAGATCTCACAAATTAATAAACAAGAGCAAGATTTAAAAGAAAGCAAACAAGAAATTGGTAGAGAAACCAAATATTTTATTAATGATAACCAACGGAGAGAAAATACAATTTTCAGCAACTTCTACAATCTAATAAATTGAATGAAGAGTATACTATTTATAGGGCCTAAAAATATCATAAAGATGGAAACAAGATAAAAAAAATCACGTAGAATAAAGAAAATAATATTTACCGAATAATTTTCGAATAAAACACGTGAAATAAAATGAAATATTTTCTCAAAACATTCTACCTAATTTAGGTCACAAAATCCAACAAAGTTCATCTCAATACATTCTCCCAACTTTTGCTAATTACTAGACATGAAATGATGGCTGGAAATATTTTCAAACTAAAAGCTCCTTTGTTTTGACTTAGATTCCTCCTCGAAATCCTTTGTAATGCACATTTTCTATAGAGGAAAAACAACTGTCCCCATGATACCGAATCAAAATTTCAGAACAAGAACTCTTGTTTTTCCCATAAACAAGATGAGTATTTGGATGCAACTTTGATCTTTCATATGGAGGAAGCACTGTTAAAATCATCGTCTCTGTTTCCTTACTTCATACTGGTGGCCTTTGAAGTTGGGGTCTCCAATGAGTCTTTTTCTTTCCTATCCATTTGTCTATCTATTAAGCAAGGAAATTGGGGTAAAGATTATGGTTTTAATATGTTTTTGTGGGATAAAGAAAGCAAGTTATCGGCTTGGAAGATCTGTTATGCCCAAGTTCTTTCTTGAGAATGTTGGTTATGAAGGCTTTCAAGTTGTGATGAAGTACAAGAAAAAGGTAGCAGTGAGTGGTATACCCAATGCAATGGTTGAAGGATTTTTAAGGGATTGTTTGGATGTCAATTGTCAATGCAGTCGTTGGAAGAGATTTGAAGGTGGTTTTTGTGTATTTTGTGGGCTTAATGGAGGTAAAAAGAGACATAAATATTGTAACAAATGAGATAATTGGACAGGAAAATATGAATTCTCCTTTATTTGGTTCTACTTTTGCCAACAAAGTCTCTTTGTAAGGTTGTGGTATTTATAGGATTTCATGTCAAAATGTTATGTTTCTAAAATTCAGACGAATAATTGTGTTTTGCATCGCGAGAGGAGGTCTATTTGGTAACTGCACAAGAGAAGACGAGCTGATTAATACTTCCATGGGGAATTTTTTCGAAGCCATTAATTTTACACGATGGAAGATTGGACGAAGTCTGAAAAGCTAATTTCACAGTTTCAATATTCTCACGCCGCATCCTATACTCCTCTTGGACACATACTGTAATAAGGTCATTGAAATCTCATTTATCTTGCTGAGCATTATAAATAACCTTTACCTGATTAAACTAGCTAGGAAGGCTAGTTAGAACATGATAGACCCGGAAATGCTCTGCAATGGGAATCTTAAGAGTCTTTAGCTTAGAAGATATATGTATCATATTCATAATGTGCTCCCTAACTCCACTTTTAACATCATAGCTCATATTCATCAGTTTGTCCATCAGATTTCCAATTTCAGCTTTATTAGACTAAACAAATCTCTCTCATGTGACATCTACAAAACTTTTAACATTTTCATTATCTGGAATAACACACATAATATAATCGAATATGAAGCGTTTATTAATCGTTAGACAAAGTCAGTTATCCCTTTCCCAATTTTCATACTCAACCACACATTCAAGAGTGCTTTTATCTGTGGTTTGGAAAGTTGTTTCTCCATTACAAAATCCAAGTCCAAAAGATAAAGTTCTATTTCTATGTCTCGTTTCCGTCACGCATAATTCTTCCCAGTTAAGGTTTCAATGACAGAAAATTTACTCGAAAGAAATGAGGCATTTGAAATTGTGGAAACATAAAATAACATGTTTATTATCATTCAAACATAATGTATGCAATCAATGGGTGATAATATATCTATCTAATTAACATGGGCTATTAATGAGATAATCTGGAATTAAAGTCAAAACTACATGAACCTTATTACGGTAAGAGCCTAGGTGCATCATTATAAAGTCACATTTGGGCTAAGAATACATATTGTATGGTACTCTTAAAACATATCATGAAGCTAATTAACAAAATCACATCAGGTTTTGAAATATCAATACTCTAGGCAGAAGACGATTTCTAGACCAAAGCAATCTTATTAAATACCCCATGTCATTTTCTAAATTGTCACATATAATAACACCTACGAGCAAGATACTGTGCACAATAATTTAAAAAATGCGATGCCATTCCCTTTTTTCTGTTTTTTTTTTGAGAAAGAAGAACGAATAAAAAATAATGAGTATGCTACTTTGACAGCTACCACCCACTTGTATTTCAAAATATTTCTCTTAATAAGGATAATGTTAAAGTCCGTAGAAAAATTCAATCACAAAATAATAATTATGCAACAAAATCATAGTTATCAACTTGGTAAAATCAAGGTATGTGATTGTGACAAAATCAGTAACAAAATTTTAACATATATTACAATATATCTCACAGGCACGATTCAAGGGCTAAATGAATAAAAAATATTCGCAAATTAAAACTCCATCAAATTATTCTCAATTCAGTAATTGATATCAATAAAAATTTGTGGAAGGCTTTCACTCTATCTCTTTACATACATGATAACATGCATATATACGTAGACATGATTGCGAGGTAATTAACTTTCCTTATTCCTATAAAATCCCCCAAAAACAATGCTTGAACCAAAATAGAAAAATAGGGATGGTTCGTAACACAAGAGCCTAGTTTGACTACGCAAACAACTACTGTTTTGTGTAAATCAAACAAATATATATTTTTTGACTAAAAATTCAAGACGCGTTTCTTCGAATGAATTTCATGTTTATACCAAAGAAAAACACTTTAATTAGATGTATTGTATCGTAGCAGCAGTGTACAAAAATGATGCCTAATTAATCAAGAAAAATTAACCTTTGATGTATCATTCATATTTTAATTTTTAGTTGAGGAGCTTGTATTATTCTTGGAAGAAGAAATAACATCTGTACACATTTTTCACAGGATTACAGATGCATAGACCTAAATGAAGAGAGAGAAAATAACGTGTATAGTCTCGACTCATATTTATATATATATAAATCAAAAGCAGGAATTGATAGGTTGATATGTGAACTAAGATTAAGACCCATGGATGTATGTAATAGGTTGTGCATGAATTAATAGCATAGTGAGCACATATAAGTCAGAAAAAGTATTTGTCGGATGTAGACTCTATTCTCTCAGCAGCTCGAAAATACGAAAAACTATGAAAACTATTTTATTTTATTTTATTTTATTTTTTTGTGAAGGATTCTGTCTTAGAATGTAAGCTCTAAGGTTGTCAACAAGCCGAAACTCGAAACGTGGGCTTAGCTTGGTTTGAGTAAAAATGGTTCGAGCTTTTTTTGGTCAAAGCTGAGACGAACAAATGCTCGGCCAAAAAATTCAGGCTCGACCCGAGCTTTCGGCTCCAGCCTTAGTGAGCCGAGCTGATCAATTTATTTTTAAATTCGTTATAAATTTTTAATTTTTAATTAATGAATATGCATTATAAATAATAACTAAATATTAACATATAAAAAAAATACAGTTAAAATTTAAAAAACTTAAAATAATAAAATAAATAAAAAAGATGCTTGCAACGTAGGTAGCTATGACGCATGCAGCTTTAATTTTAGCTGCCTGCAAAATTAAAAAAAATTAAAAAAGCTGCCTGCAACGTAGACAGCTATGACGCATGTGGTTGCATTTTCTTAATTTTTTTTATTCAGACTTGAGCCGGCTCTGGTTCAAGCCGATGCCCCAGAATGGGGCTCGATCCCACCGAGCCACGGATCAGGCTTTTTTCAAGTCGAGCCGCCGAGTTTTATTGACATCCCTAGTAAGCTCTGATACCAATTGCATAGTATTTAATAATAATGCTAAGAAATAAGAATCATATCTTTAAATTCATAGTTTAAGAGACACCTGCAAAGATATCTTGAATGTAAATATTAGCAGCTAGATTTTTTTTTCCTTATTCTGACAAAATTATTAGTTGTCAATGGGGCTAGCCAATAAAACATATAGAGAGAAGAGGGGACCTAGCCTCTTATATAGAAGCTTATCGAGCTATCCCATTAACGACTTCAACCCTAATTAGGATTTAGATATTTCAGAACCACATACTTAAATTACCACATTATATAGGATATAACCCTATATAACTAAGGTGTAAAACGGCCTAAGTAATCACTCCACATATTGGGCTCCACCATAGTATCATTAGAAGCTATACATCTAATCCATTTTATAGAACAAAAAATTTGCGTCAAATGGAAAGCCCATATTTTGAAATTTATTCTAACATTGTTTGGATGTCAATTGTCAATGCTGTTGTTGGAAGAGATTTGAAGGTCCAACATCTGATATTTTGTGGGCTAAATGGAGGTAAAAAGAGACATAAATATTGTAACGAATGAGATAATTGGACAGGAAAGTATGAATTCTCTTTTAGTTGGTTCTAGTCTGCCAACAAAGTCTATTAATCAGCAATTTTTTTTTCTCATTGCAAGGTTGTGATATTACTTGGATTTCATGTCAAAATGTTATGTTTCTAAAATTCAGACGAATAATTGTGTTTTGCATTACGATAGGAGGTCTATTTGGCAACTGCAGCAGAGAAGACGAGCCGATGAATACTTCCGCAGGGAATTTTTTCGAAGCCATTAATTTTCCACGATGGAAGATTGGACTGTTGGCCGACTTATTGTGCTACATTATCTATATTCATATGGTACTGTTTGGTTTTATCCTTGGCATCGTCAACCTTTTTTGTTGCCTTATTTCTACCTTACAAAGTAGCTGCCCTGATCTTGGCCTTTACTGGGATGGTAGGTTCGTTATCCAGACGGCATTCCATAGATACCGTGATCTGGTAGGCTAAAACTCGAGGCTTGGTTTATGTATCCAATCTACATTTCATTGGCGCTAATGAAACCAGTTATTGCTGTTACATACAATATAAGTAGAATATTGGAGATCCTCTTCCCGTTAAAAAGCATTTGGTTAACAAGGGTGAAAAGGACTTAAAGATGATGGGGGAAATTCTTTCCCGTGGAAATATTGTAGTTTGTCCTGAGGGAACAACTTGCAGGGAACCATATTTGCTGAGGTTTAGCCCTTTGTTCGCAGAATTGAGCGATGATATAATTCCAGTTGCCTTATATGGAAAACTTTAGATCCTCTGTTCTTTCTCTTGAATCCTCGTACAATATACGCTGTCAATTTTCTCGAAAAGTTTCCAAAATCAGACGCGTGTAACAGTTGTGAATAATCAAAGATTGAAGTGGCTAATTATGTGCAAATGAGACAGCAAAGACCTTGGGATTTGAATGCACAAACCTTACAAGGAAAGAGAAGTACATGCTTTTAATAGATAATAAAGGGACTCTGAAACCATCAACTATTACTGATATCTACAATTATGCACCATTATAAAAATAAAATGCTTGAAATTTTTACATAGTTTCACCATATTTCCATGATTGTTAATTTTAACTTAATCTCATTTTCTACGTTTCCAGCATTGATGGAGGTACAAAAATTTGTACTTGTAACTTGTATGCATTTCAAAATCATACGAAATCGATGGCCGATTCTTCCATTTGCTGTTATATGCCTTGCAAACAATTGAGAATTTGAGTACCGACTTGCCCTATATATCAAAACAATGTCGCTTTGAGCTTGTTAGGTTGTTCCCAGTTTTATGTTCGCACTCCACTCCACCCCTCTGTTGGGAATTTACTTAACATGTACAGCGGAAAATAATAATTTTTCAATTCCCACCACGGATCTGCTTTGTATTTAGATAGAAACTGTGTTGAGAATAATACCTTTGATGAATTCTGCAAACTCTTTTGCTGATTCTCGAACTCCAATGATCACGATCTGCAATCCAAGCTGTCCAATTGTCCAGCCTCCAATGGTGATCCACACAGAGAACAAGAATNTAGATAGAAACTGTGTTGAGAATAATACCTTTGATGAATTCTGCAAACTCTTTTGCTGATTCTTGAACTCCAATGATCACGATCTGCAATCCAAGCTGTCCAATTGTCCAGCCTCCAATGGTGATCCACAATGAGAACAAGAATGACGGCTAGGGTTTTACTTTTCTTGTGCTAGCAAGAACAATGAAAATTTTATACAGTTTACAAACCCTAACAGCCTATTTATATAAGCCCAAATGGGTTGGCCCATCTCTAAACTTTACCTGGTCCAATATTTAATTAATCAAATTAATTAAATTCGGTTCATGAATTAATTATTCCAATTAATTAATTCGGGCCTATTAATAAGCAACTCAGTTAATTAATTGTCCAACACTTGTCAATTAATTAATTGGTAAATTTCATTCTTCTGGTTCTCTTTTGTGTGTGACCTATTAGGTTCCCGATCACGATTCCTAACGNAATTCGGGCCTATTAATAAGCAACTCAATTAATTAATTGTCAAACACTTGTCAATTAATTAATTGGTAAATTTCATTCTTCTGATTCTCTTTTATGTGTGACTCATTAGGTTTCCAATCACAATATTTAACGACGTGAATTATTATTTTGATCTAATCAAAATCGATAAATTAAAACACCCCTTTTAATTTATCACTATTTCACATTCGTCGTTCCAAATGACATCTAGCAATGTGTCATGGCAATACATGTGATGAGAAATGTCACGTGATGTGACAAACCAAACTTGGTCGTTTACCGTGAAATTATAATCATTTCGTCAAAATGATCTAATCAATAATGAGATATGGATACATGTTAATCTCAATTATCGATCATATCTTTTATCCCAGTGTTAAGTTAATGTAAGTCGAAAACTCTTTTCGACTTATGAGTTCACCTTGGCCAATCATTTCATTATTAACTTAACTGGATTATGTAGATCATAATTTCTTATTATCTGAGAGCGATGAATCCTCTATTGATCATTCACAACCTTCATATGATTTTTGACATACCCGAACGATGCTGTATTATCGACCCTTGACAGAGTAGCATTCAACACCATCAAAGTATGACTGTCCTCATATAAGGTACTATGACGACCTCAAGTCAAATGACCAATTCTACTACCGAATGTTAGAGATTAACCACTAACACTCAGATAGTTATCCATGTGGAATCTCCCAGCGGGTCTCCAATGTTTTGTTCTATAACAAAGCATCCACGTGTTCACTCAAGTGTCACCACACTTTAGCTTGTGAGATCAGCTACTTACTTCACAAGTAAGAATGCCACACGCGATGGTCTATCCGCAATAACGATATCC